AAGAGACAGGAGGAGGAAAGAGGGGACAGGAGGAAAGAGGGGACAGGAGGAAAGAGGGGACAGGAGGAAAGAGGGGACAGGAGGAAAGAGGGGACAGGAGGAAAGAGGGGAGGGAAGGGTAGGTTCAGCAGTGCATCCCTCTACTCTTCTTCCCAAACCATGTTTAGGATTTACGTCTCTCAGAGAGAAGCAAAGCACCATTGTACCACACACAAGCAAACAAAGGGCAATCCAATTTTTTGGGGCAAGAACGCCAAACTACAAACAGATAATCCTTGATTTAAGGAATTAGGCTTGGCAGTGCAATTACAAGTCTTTGAGGACTAATCACTTGAATTGCTAATAGATTTAAACTTTAAATTCACCTCAGACTCCTCTTCAATTTTCTGGCTTTCCACCTGCAGGAGATCCAGCAAGGTCTGAGGATGCATTGCTGCTGAAAATTTCTCTGAGGAAACAAAAATAGCAGCAGAGCAAAACATTAAACACAAAAGAGGGAAAATTCTTTAGCACACAGCCCTGTCACCTTCCTGCCTTGGAAACTGTTGATGCAAGGATAAAATCTGAAAGAACCTTAGATACTGATGCACTAGGGTTTTTTTGCTGGGGTAGCATCTTTGATCTGTCTAACGAATTTGATCAGGAAAAAGGAGAATATAGATTTTATATGCAGCAGAAATAGAGATTTTACACGCAGCAGAAATACAGATTTTACACATAGCAGAGTCATTTCTATCACCACCCTCAAGAGTTTCTCTGCTCAGTATGGCCAAGGTAGGCAGAAGCAAAAGGGAAGGATGTTGCACTAACTACAACCCACATGTCTCCATCGGAAAGCGTGCAAGGTTTGCAAACACTCACCCAGCTTTGCCTTTTGCTCTTTACACCGCTCAGCCAGCTTCTGCAGCTCTTCGTATCTGTTAGAGAGGTCGGTGCGCCCCGTCTCCAGTGGTGCCTGGAATTTCAGGTTCTGCTCGGCCAAGCTGCGGTTGGCAGCAAGGGCCATCTCCCTTTCCAGCTGCAGCTCCTGAACCTGCAGATGGAAATGTCACAATCACAGAATCCCAGAATCATCTGGGTTGGAAAAGCCCTTGAAGATCCTCCAGTCCAACCATGACCCTCACACTGACCGTTTTCAACTCCACCAAAGAAATTCACTGGGCACACTGCTGGCTCCTGTTCAGCCGGCTGGCAATCAACCCCCCCCCGGTCCCTCTCTGACTGGCAGCTCTCCAGCCACTCCTCCCCAAACCTGTAGCGCTGCTGGGGGTTGTTGTGGCCCAAGTGCAGAACTCAGCCCAAGTGCTAACAAAGCCCAGACTGTGTCAGGCTACGCCCACACGTACCTCCTGGGACTCCAGGGCCAGACGCTCGATCTCCTCTGCATCTTCCTGCAGCTCCCTGAGCTCCTCCACTGTCCGGTTCCTCAGGGTGTCCATCCTTCTGCAGGAGCTGCAGCCTCCCTGTGTGGGGGAAAGGAAATTCAATAAAGACGAGGTTTGCTAAAGCTAACTGCAAATAGGTACTAATCCTAATAGGGGTTTAAACCCAGTTTTGCTAATCTGCTTGAAACAGCTACGCCAGACATTCCTCTATAAAGAATCAGCAAGACTAAGAAGGAAAACAGGACATATCTCCTCAATCCTGCTTTAGCAACTGACTTTCCTTTTCGCAGTATGTTTGAAAGGATTTCTTGTGTGTGTCAGCCAGTTTTGTCAGGGAAACACCTACTCACAGCCACTTGATTGCAGGGCGATGTCACCCTGACTTTCAAACTCCAGCTGGCTCTCCCTGCACTGTCCCATTCCAGATTCCCATTCTGCTGAGGAAAACTCCTGGATCTGTTTGCATCCACTGTGCCCACAGCCCATGTTACCAGTGGGATCACCATCACCACCTGCATCTTCCCATACCTCACCACCTCTCCAGTTCCTTGGTTCCCTCCTCATATGATGCATTTTTTTTTTCTTGTGTTTTCCTTTCTAGCTATATGGTGCCATCACTTCCCCTACTTATTGCTGCTACCCTTAGGAAACATTAAGCGATGGCTTTATTCATATGAACTTGATGCAATACATGTGATGTTAAAAATGGGCAAAATATTACTAAAATCAGGAAAATAATGGATTTTCTGTACTATGTCTGTGACTTATTCCAAATAATCTTGGTTGTCTGATAATATTTAGCAAATATCAGGTCTTGTCACAGGTTCTATGATGTGGGATGCAATTATGTGGGAAAACAGTAAAAAATAGGTGAGAAACACAGGAGCTGAGCACTCCCACCGGGAGGGAAAGGGACATACCAAATGGCCAATGGGGATTTCAACGTTGTCCTAACTGCTCGTGGCTCTTCTACCTTTCACCCGGGTGAAACATCCCAACGATATCGCTCTGGGAACGTTGCATCAGCCTCTGCACGTAACACAGAATGACAAGGTAAGGCTCAGGGTTACCAAATCTCTTCACCCAAGATCCAGCCAAACCTGTCCAAGTAAAAACCACCTAAAAGCTGGAAAATGAGCTCCCTTACTACATACATGTGTATGTAACTTCATAACTGTGCAAACAGAAATAAAGCTATGTTTGATGGGTTTTTTGTTATTAATGAGGCTCACAGCATGTAAAAGGAAAAAAAAGTAAGAATAGTGGCAAACAAGAAGTTCAATCCGTGCCACTGTGCGGGTGCTAAGGCCACGGATGGTCTGTGGGAAGTGTCTAAATAGTCTCCAGGAGGGTGGATGCAAAGAGCCAGGCACCAGCACAGGGCAGGGGCTCTCGCCTCCCAGATCTCACCAGTTTTCAGCAGCGTTCCAATAAGACACAACCACCGAGTCAACACCTTGTCTCTCTGAAGAGCAACACGTGGGGTCCCCGTGGCTTGGAAAGGCTGTGTGCCCCGGTGAGAGGCTGCCCGCAGGAGTGCCGCACGCCGGTCACCGTCTCGGTGCTTTGTCCCCGGTTAGGAAGAGCCCACCCCTCAGCCCCGGCGGTGCCCGCCCAAGGCCTCCACATCCCACCACCCTGCGGGAGCGCGGAGCAAGGCCCAACCGGGGCCGCTCTCCCACCGGGACACGGCGGAGGCTGCTCCGCCAACGCCAGGCCAGTCCTGGGCTGTGGAGGGAACGGCAACCGGGAGGCCAAGACCCACGAAGAAGCGGAACGGGTTTGCTCCCGGTACAAGGCCTGGCCCGGTATGGCCTGGCCTGACTCGGCCGAGCCTCCCCCCCTCGCTCTGGCGGGAGGTCCCGGCGGATAACGACTGCAGCCGTCCACCGGAGGGGCTGTGAAGGCCTCCCCTCGCAAGGCACGAAAGGAAGGGACTGGTTACCGGCCCCGCCGCCCGCCCGGCACTCACCACGGCTCAACGGGAACCCTCCCTTCG